GCAACCCTGGAATCACGGGGTGATTTATCTTCCCCGTTCCTGCTTTGCAGAGAGGGTCTGTCTGTGGACCCTGGTCTTTGGCTGCGGGGGGCTGTGGGTGTCCACAACCCAGTCATACCCTCCCCTTGGGTAGCTGACAAAGGGAAGAAACTTCCAGTCGCCTGCAAATCTATGCAAATGATTGTTCCTTATTTTAGACATAGTTTCAGGAAAGCCCATCCCAAACTTACAAAACCTAGCGGGAGAGAGTTCTCAGAAAGCTTAGGTACCCACTGGAAGCTGGGTCTGGATATCTGTGGATGTGAAGAAGCCCCCAGGACATCCCACTTTCCATGGCAATTGGCTCTACGGAGACACCCTCCCGAGGGCTCGGAAGAGCAATTTCTGATAGTTGCCTAGGGGCCCCCATATGCCAGGAGGTGCTCAGCACCATGGCACCCCGGGGAGCCCCCATGCCTGCAAAGGGGCAGGCTCTTCCCCGACCAGCACAATGAACCTGGGGGCTCCCGGGGCCCACAACTCCCTTATTCGGCTCCCACAGCAGTGTTGGGGTGAGGGCTGCATCTTCTGTGGCCTACGTGGGTGTTTAGGACCCTTCTCTGCCCCACACTGCTCCGAATTTCCTGTCTCCAGCACCCATCTTCTGCCTCATTCCCTCACTCATGGTGGAGTGTGCAGATCAGTGAGGGTGTTTCTTCCCAACCTATGCCCTTGTCTTTCATAACTCTTGTGTCCCCGTGGAGCTCATGTGCAGCCCCTATCGTCCAAGACCCTGGATGTCTTGCACCGTCTCTCCCTGGGCCCCTCCATCCCCGGGAACTGTGCCATCTTGAAACGGCTGTTTGCACTCCTCATGTACAGGCCACCCAGCCTCTCAGCCCCCAAGGTGGTTCCTGGGAAGACCCTGTGTCCTGACACCTGCAGGAATCTTCTCCTGCCTTTCCTCTTCCACCCAGCTTCCACCCCCACGTGGAGGCCAGCAGCCCACCTCCATCCCTGCACCCAGGCAGCTGCTCAGCAAAGGCGCCTGACTGCACAGATGGGGCCTCTCTAACTTGAACCCAGCCCTCCACCCCAGCCTCCAGCTGCCTGTTCTCACAGTCATTTGCTCCGAAGGCCCACAGCCCATGGGAAAAAAAGATTCCTCAATTGTTCTCTCCTCCTGCCTCTGCCTCAGCTCAGCGTTTTATCTTCCCAGCTCTAGGGGAAAGTGAAGCTATCAGATGGCAATGGCCTCAGCTTCATGCCACTAAAGCTGTCTGCCCCTGCCTGGGTCCCCACCCAGACCCCTCACTCTCCTCTTGTGCTGGAGGTGGGTGGGGCCCTGCTCCACACCCCTCCTTCTCTCTTCTGCGTCTTCCTCTCTCCACTGGCTCCTTCTGGACAGCATTGAAGTCCTTGGCAGTCTCTGCTGCTAGACAAAGCATGCTTCCTCAAATATGTGCCCTTCTCCTTTAGCCCTGTGGCCGCCCTGCATGGCCCTTCCCCTCCCTCTGCTGGCACACCCCTGGAGTGCCCTACTTGCTCCATATACATGGGGTTTTGTAACTCTTTTTTTTTTTTTTTTTTTGAGACGGAGTTTGGCTCTTGTTACCCAGGCTGGAGTGCAATGGCGCGATCTCGGCTCACCGCAACCTCCGCCTCCTGGGTTCAGGCAATTCTCCTGCCTCAGCCTCCTGAGTAGCTGGGATTACAGGCACGCGCCACCATGCCCAGCTTATTTTTTGTATTTTTAGTGGAGACGGGGTTTCACCATGTTGACCAGGATGGTCTCGATCTCTTGACCTCGTGATCCACCCGCCTCGGCATCCCAAAGTGCTGGGATTACAGGCGTGAGCCACCGCGCCCAGCCGGTTTTGTAACTCTTAAACCATTCCAGCCTAGTTTCCACCTCCATCCCAATGACAGCCTGCTGTCACCCAGGACATGCATGGTGCCACTTCACCAACTTTGGGGACAGGCATTACCAGATCGAGGCCTCAGTCTCCTTGAAGCGACCTTGCTGCAGCCTCAGAGGCACCAGGAAGCCAGAGACCTGTGGCCCCCGGGCTGCTGCTTCTAACCTCCGCTTCTGCGTGCTGCTCCTTGGACCATCTCATTCAACCCCCTGCAGGCCCCATCTAGACCCAGGGCTTCGTGATCTATAGCCTGACAAGGCCCAGATCTGTCTCCAAGTGGCTGTGGTCTTAGGGCCTCAATCCCATCACCCTCAGCATGGGCTCTGAGCTAACTGGAGGGTTGATTCAGGAACCACTTGCAGCTGTGTTCTGAGGGAAGCTGAATTGGAGCATGGCTCAGAATTGCAGCAAAATGTCCCTCTTCCTTATCTCATCCACTTGCACTGACTTTCTATACCCAGACACAGCCTCCTCTTTGCGGCAGCCCCATTGGCCTGGAAAATGAGCCACATGTAGTCACATGGGGGCCCTGAAGACAGGAAGCCTCTGCTTTTCAGTGCTGAGCTAAGCAGTGGCTGCGCTGAGGACCCAGGGTCTGACCAGTTAGCTGAGTCTTTTCCACCTGCAGGATGTGCAGGTCCAAGGGAACCAGAAGAGGATGGACCTGACATCCTTGGGGGGGTTTAGGGGGACACCTCTACGGGGTCATAGGTAGTTGGGGAGAGGGAGAAGATGGCTCCCTGCACCCAGCTCACTCCTTGACCACCATGTGTGGCCCGCTCATGTATGTCCCCTGCTTGGCGGACATGGGTCATTAGTCTACCCCACAGCAGCCTCTCAGGGCAGGTATTACTTCTATATTTTGAGGGAGGAAACTCAAGAGGCCAAGTTCCTTGCCTGTCTGAGGTCCCCCACTCTGTGACATGGTGGCAGTGTTAGTATGGGCACGTGAGTCAGCTTGGGCTACCATTAAAAAACACCGTAGATCAGTGACTTAAACAGAAATGTATCTTCTCACAGTTCTGGTGGCTGGAAGTGTGGGATCAGGGAGCCAGCATGGCTGGGCTCTCAGGAGGCCCCTCCTCCCGGCTGCAGATGGCTGCCTTTCACTGCAGCCTCACATGGTAAAGAAGTCTCTGGGATCCCTTATAACCTGATCATAGGAACCCCCATCACTTCCTCACACCCTAATGACCTCCCAAAGGCCCCATTTCCAAATACCACCCCAGCAGGGTCTTAGGGCTTCAACATATGCATGGGTGGCGGGGGAGGGGAGTGGTACCATTCGGTCTATAGCAGTAGGATTGGAGTCAAGTTCTCCTGACGATTTACTTCCCTGGCCATGGCTCTGGCCTGAGACCAGGGTGTGATGAGCGGCCAGGCACTGGAACCCTGCAGCGCTGCCCTGAAAAGTGGGCGGCGGGGCCGGCTGCACCACAGCGCCACCTCGTGGCTGCTGGTCCACATTGCAGGTGTAATGTGAGGCCAACCAGGAGCGAATTTGGGGGAGGCTGTGTCTCCAATAGAATGGAGGGGTGGGCGAGCGTGTTAGATGACGGCAGGGCCCTGTAGGGAGAGGACAGATAAGTGATGGGGCAAGGAGGAAAGGGAACTCTACAGCTGAGGAAACAACGTGGGGAAGATACAGGGCAGCATGAAGGCCCGCGGCAGGGGCTGGAGCAGGACAGCGGCACGGGGGATGGGGGCAGGGGGGAGGTGGGGGAGGGAAACAGACCGGGATCCCCAGTAGAGCCTTGCGGTTCGTTTCAGTCTTGCAGACAGCTTTTTCTCCACTCCCATGTCTGATGTACTAATAATTAACGTTGTTGTGAGCCTTTTGGGTGTGTTAACTCATTTAATCCTCTACGTGTATTTAGATGCAGGCATAACATCATCCCAACTTTATCAATCAGGAGGCCAGACAGAGAGGTGAAGTCACTTGCTCAGACTCACACAGCTAACAGGTGGGACCCCGGGCGGCCTGGCTCCAGAGCGCCTGTGTGAATCTCTGCCCCATCCTTTCTCTGGGGGCTGCCCTCAGAAGTTCCCCATAGCCAGCGTCTCAAATAACTCAGGAAACGTCTTTGCTAAGCACAGAGTAATAGGCAGGCAGCAGGGCAGACAGGAGGCCCCGGACTGGAGAGAGGCGCCTTGCTGTGAACCCACCTCTCCCTCAGCCATGCACCAGCCCGCCGGGCTGTTCCCAGAGTTGAAGATCATGCCCAGGGAGATGCCCTGTGTCACACAAACTGGGAGGCCTGGTTACTGTTTATACTGATTTTATATTACAGGTTCCCAACATTGGGTTTCTGCATGTATTTTTTTAAAGGGAGATTAGTGTCAACTTCGGACCAGACTCATGTCCATTTCTGGGTATGCCCGTCTTTGTCAGGAACACAGAGGGAACAGAGGTCTGTTTCCTCTGTTGGGGGAAGACAGACACTAGCCCTGCCCACATCAGGCCCTGGCCAGGGCGAATTCACTCAGCAAACTTTCAAGCAGCTGGTGCATGTCTGCTGGGCCTTTTGAGATGCTTTTTTATTTTTACTATTTTTTTATATGGAGTCCCGCTCTGTCGCCCAGGCTGGAGTGCAGTGTCGAGATTTCGGCTCACTGCAACATCCACCTCCTGGATTCTGGCAATTCTCCAGCCTCAGCCTCCTGAGTAGCTGGGACTACAGGTGCTGCCACCCCGCCCAGCTGATTTTTGTATTTTTAGTAGAGACGGACTTTCACTGCGTTAGCCAGATGGTCTCTATCTCCTGACTCTGTGATTCACCCGCCTTGGCCTCCCAAAGTGCTCTGATTACAGGTGTGAGCTTTTGTTTTTAATGTCACATCCCTGCGACAGTCAGTGTTGTCATGCCCATTTGACGCATGAGGCAGGCAGCTGAGGTTCAGAGACCTTAGGCCTGTCACGCAGCAGGGAACGGCACTCCTGGGCTTGAGAAGAGGCCTCTCCAAGACCAACACTAGGGCCCTGCTCCGTCTGCTGAATTCTGGGCATTCAGTAGTGACACCAACCTAGGAGGCCCTCTGAGCTGGAGTGCTGAAGGCAGCGCAAATGCATGACCCTTGTAGAAAAACAGCAAACACACCCAAACAATAAAATAGCTCTTCCTTTTATTCTCTTTGATTTGGATCATTGGAAATATTCAACAATAAATAAAACAGAGCGGGGGTTGAGGAAAGCAGGGTCTTGCTAACGTCATTCGAATGCATCCCAACCAGTGCTCAGCTTTGCAACGACAGGGAGAGAGGCAGGGCGGTGGGGGGAATAAAAAGCAACTTTTAAAACACCAACAGCCACACACACAAGACTGCACAGAAGAAAAAGTGCTCAAGAAACTTTGGCTTTGAGGGGAATTCAGTGAAGGGAAGTGACTGTGCAGCAGGAAGGGGAGGAACCCACGACCACCCTAAGGGGCAGGGGGCTGGAGGGGGAGGCGCTGACAGGGGCTGGGGTTAAAGCTGACGTCCCACAGCTCAGGACGTGCAACCTATGGCAGTTTTGTACTAGGAAGAGCTGAGTGATGAGGCTGGGTGATGGGGTCACCTGAGGGGCTGGGAGGGAGAACAGAAGGTGTAAAGGCGGCTCACTGCCCCTAGGAAATTCAGTGCTCTTTTGGTGAGAAAACAAAGTCGGTAATGCCCTGATACTGACAAGCTGTGAGATGCTGCCTTGTCTGTCTCCGCCTTTTCTTTGAAGTCTTCCTCCTTTTCTTTGCACAGGTGTCAGGCAGCAACCGAGGGGAGGAGCTGGTGTTGTTACGACAAAGAGGGACGTGGACTCCATCTCAAACTGCCTAGCCCAGTCCACAGGGCAGGATGATCCTGGTGGCATGGAGCCACATTTGCTGCAAACCAGATGTCCACGATGGATATAATGATACCCCTGGGGTTCTTCCTAGGGGTGAGGACAGGTGCTGGTTCCTGGTGGCGCGTGGCTGGTGTCCCGTCATCTTTAGCTGGACCGTGGCCCCTTGGAGCTTGGGCTTCCCTGCACAAAGTCTTTTTGATCCTAGCCGGGTGACGGCGAGTGAGTTCTTTTGGTTTCCCTTTCACTTGTTTTCAGACTACTTAAAAGCAAACATCCCCGTTCTAAATGTTCTCTGTAGTTTGAGTCCACCTTTGCCAAGAGACCAGAGTCATATCCAGGTGGGACCAGACTCTAGCACTGCCTTCTGGCCACAGCAGAGAATGGGATTCCATCTAAGCCTCTCAACCAGCCCTTTCCCTAAAGGATCACTCAGATCTTAACTGCCCTTTCCACCTTCTTCTTTTCTTTTTCCTATTTTACGTTCTATTTCCTCATACCTGGCTTTCCTCTCTAAGCCTAGCCAAATGCTTTGCTGAATGATGCTTGGAAAAGCCACAGTTTTAAAAGGGATTCATCCATTTATGAACTTTCTTCCAGCCCAGGATCCCTGCAAGGCCCTATACAAACCTGCCCTCCTTTCTCCCCTAAAAAGTGGCTGAGGGGAGGGGAGGTGCATGCAGCTCCAGTTATAGCAAATCAGAACCCTGACTCACTGGGGAGCCCCCATGGGCTGGCTCGTCAGCCCATCTTTGTAGCTTCAGGTTCAGCTCTGGGTGCTGCAGGCAGGGAACCCCCTGCTCCCTGCCTGAGCTCAGGGACCCCCCCCTGCTCCCTGCCTGAGCTCAGGGACCCCCCTGTTACCTGCCTGAGCTCAGGGACTGCCCCTGCTCCCTGCCTGAGCTCAGGGACTGCCCCTGCTCCCTGCCTGAGCTCAGGGACTGCCCCTGCTCCCTGCCTGAGCTCAGGGCTGGTCTCCAAGGAACTCTGCCTGGAGTAGAAAGAGCCATAAGCTGGGATTCAGGGGCCGAGGGAGCCTTCTGCCGCTGCCTGCCCAATACGAGTTCTCCTGGTTCTCCTGCTGACAGCATGCATGGTGCCCTTTGTCTGACATACACTCTTGTCTAATTCCCAGCCGCCTGCACCCCAGGTATGAGTTCCAGCTGGTTTAAGCCAAACTGGTGCATTTAAATCTGGCCGCAACAACTTGCTTTTATTCCATTAAGTGCCCATTGTTAAGCCAATGAAACATAGGAGTTGTCTGCTGGGCTATGGGAAAGGGAAATGCGTTCTCCTGCACTGGAGGCCACCCTGGCAGCCTGCGGACAGAGCTCAGTGCTAAGCTAGCACGGGAGACTGAGGCACCCCATTCTGGTTACACTTTTTCGAGATGCTGAACGGAGACTCACGGGGAAAGCCCACCTCCAGACAATTTAAACATAGCGCCAGGAACACCCTGTTTTTGCTCAAACTCGGACTTGTGCTATCTGTCCCAGACAGTTCACGACTGCCCGTCACTTCCCCTTTCACACTCCAGCAGGAAAAGGCCACACCTCCCAGTACAGCAGCAGCCTTTTCGCAAATGTGCTCAACAGGAAAACTGTTTTTTTCTGATTAAACATCAGTAACTAGAGTCAACAATTACTGTCCTCTGTGCCTGTCACTCTCCACCCCACACCCAGCTGCAATGTGGCCTTGATTTTCTCATCAGTAAAATGGGAGAGCTAGGTTTGGAGGCTGGAAGAGATCTCACAGCTTGACCATCCTAGAGGGAGGGAGGGAGAACAGATGAAGGCCAGATGACTGACCCAGGCAGCGCCTGGCTCAGACACACACACATCTTCATTTTGAGGAAACTGTTCTTACACGGCAAAACCCAGAGAATTCAATTGCTCAGCCTGAGCCTGTCATCCCTATATAGACTCAGCCTTTGGTTTCCTTTTACTTGTTTTCAGAGTTTTTCTGCAAGAGCTCAGGAGACAGCATTGCTCTCTGTATCAGTGTCTGATTATCTGGAGTCCGACCCTGGGGTTACTCGGCCACTCAACAAACGTTTGCTGAGTTCTTCACGTCATATATGGCCGTGAGCTCTGCCCTTCGAGGATGCATGTCCTGAATGATGACTCAGCGACTTACCAGCCTTTCTCAGAAAAAAAAAGTAGTCTTAAAGTTTGGAGGATTTTAAAGCTGAAACAGGTTTTTTGTTTGTCTAACACACTCCACATTCTGAACCTTTGAGAACCCAATAAAAGCTATGGAACCTCTCTCCAGAAAAATGCTCATATGAAGAGATTCAGGGAAAAAAAACAAACTTGGCATGCAACTTCTAGGGACTCTTGTGAATGGCCTGAAGCCACCTGTGACCCACGACTGATACTCTCAAGCTCCTCCCTCCCAGTGTGCAGAGGGGGCTCCCCGCCTCCTTCATACCACCAGGAAAAGGTCATGCCCCCTCAAAGCAGCAGCAGCCTTTTCAGAGATATTTTCAGCAAGAAAAGTGGTGTTTCTGCTTAAACTTTAGTAACTGGAGCCAACCATCACTGTCCCTGCACGCCTGTCGCTCTCCACTCTCCACCCAGCAGCAATAAGGTTTCACGGAGTTTTGGAGACTCCGAGCCTGAGAACGAATCCAAGTCCACTACAAGGAAGAAGGAAGGTTGGGTTAGAACGCGAGGATGCTGCGGACATTCCACAAACCATCCAAACCCTAGATGCCCCCATATCCCAAGTCTGAGGACTCCTACAAAACTCCCTTAGCTCCCCCATTTCCCAGCCACTGGGTGAGGCAAACTTCACTAAAACACCGGCACCACCAGCAGAGCCAGGGTGCAAACAATGTCAGTTGAATTAAAAAAAAAAAAATCAATAAATAATCAGGAAGGCTAACGAGGAAAAGAGAGTAGCTGGGGAATGAGAAGATGAGGTATGTGCCAGTCACAATTCCTGGGATGTCCCCGGCCCAGACCCCAGTGACAGCCCCACGATGGCCAGCAGGGACTTGACCCTGAGCCCAGGCCCTCGGGGAAAATGCTGTTGGAGGTCTCCTGTGTGGCCCTGGAGGTTCCGGGCACCGTACTGCACAGTCTGAGAATGAAAACCTACATTCCATTCTGACGCGCTCGTGGGTGGTGCTGATATCCTCAGAGCTCTGTTCCAATTCAGATGCTGACACCTGAAACCAGAAGAGATGATCCCAGCCACAGAGCAAGTGGGGCCGCCGGTGCAGGTCCCTTTTCCCAAGGGGGAGCTTTTGCCTCACTTCAGCCAATGCGTGTGTTTCTTCCCCAAATACAAAGGCACATGGGAGTGGTCAGATTCGCTCTCGCCACAATTAGAACCACGAGACTGACTACTCAGAGGAATATCTGCGTAAGAAGAGGCATCTGTAGGAGTCAGAAACACGGCACCAAGTTGTTATTTTTTCTTTCTTTTGTTTTTCAGAGACAGGGTCTCACTTTGTTGCCCAGGCTGGAGTGCCATGGTGTGATCACAGCTTACTGCAGCCTCGAACTCCTACACACAAGAGATCCTCCCTCCTCAGCCTCCCTAGTAGCTGGGGCTGCAAGTGTGTGCCACCATGCCTGGCTAATTTTTTTTTTAATCTTTTATTTTTGTAGAGACAGAAGCCTCACGATGTTGCCTAGGCTGGTCTTGAACTCCTGGACTCAAGCAATCCTCCCACCTTGGCCTCCCAAAATGCTGGGATTACAGGTGTGAGCCATGGCACCTGGCCTCAAGTTTCTGTGAAAATCTTTGGGGTAGGAGCATCTGGTGGCTCAAAAATGAGTTTTGGGAAGAAGATGACAGGGTTATCATGCCAAGCAAGAGGCCAGGCTTCGTGCAAAGAAGGGCAGCATCTCGCCCCTAGCGCCAACACCGCCCGGCGTGTCTCTGTGCCGGAGGTAATTGCCACTCAAGTCTCTCTGCCCACCGTCCTTGGAAAACCACCCTGTATCTCAGAATATGGATGTCTTCCACATGTGTTCCCCAAGCCCGCCCCAGGAGGCAAAGAGATTTAGTGTGTGGAGGCTGAACCTTTCCCAGCGTTTCCCCAGCTCTGGGGCAGCAGTGGGGGGACGTTGTCCCCGCCCAAGACAGGTTCTGAGATGTGCTCTGCCATGTTGGCAGAGCTCAGTGACCTTGCTGAGTAGATGCTGCCAATGGCTGGGTGCAAGAGGCTGCAGGTGGCGCCGGGGCACATAGCTGAGGCTGGCCCTCCAAGCTCTGGGGTGGAACGGCTCCGGCAAGGTGCTGGGCTGGAAACACAGAGGCATGACGGTGTGTCCATCCTCAACCCTTCGCTGCGTCATCTCCCCTTGAAGATCCGGATTTTATTGATGGAGGCCAAGGTGGCCGTCACGTTAGACTCGAAGTCTGCATCATGCACCCCCGTCTTGCGAAAAGCGCCCGCGGACGGGTTGTTCTCCCAGTAATGGTGCCAGTTCCCTTTGCTGTCTGCCCCGAAGCCGTACAAGTCCACCTGTGGGGGCAGAGCACAGGTGAGAACCAGGCAGCAGGGCTGCTGGTGGCACCTCTGAGAAAGGAAGCCTGCCTGCATTTCTGGAATCCCACAGGACCACAAACGGCATTTCCAAGGACTCAGATTAACCTGTCATTAACCCTTCTCTAGATTCCTGCAACTGTCAGAGGCTTGGTGAAGCAAATGCGAGTTAAGTAAAACTCAAGTCCCATGTCAGAAGGCGCCCTGAGGGATTACGGCATGTGGGTGGCCTCAGGGGCCTGGGTCTCACCTCTGCAGCAAGTGCACCCTGTTCTCCCAGGATTGAGGAGCTGTGGAGGGAAGGAGGGAATAGAATGGGGGAGAGTGGAAGGAAGGCAGGGCTTTGGAGCCAACAAATGGCCCCAAATCCCAGCTCTGCCACTCCATGGTGTCTTGGGCATTTGAAATCACTTGTTTGAGCATCACTCTCCTCATCTGCAAAATGGGTCCAAGAATCACGATTGAAATGAGGCAGAAGGCAGGGCTGATCCCTTTCTTCTCTGAGGCCAACACTCACATGGTCCAGGCGCCCTCACACCCATGACAAACTCTGTGGATTTATTCTGAGTCAAGCACCCTGCTGGCTGTATTGAAGTTCAGGCAGACCTCATCAGATGCCAGCTGGGCCGCTGCTGGGGTAAGCAGCCTTGAAGCTTGTAACCTAAGGGAGTCACTGACTGAGCGGTCCTTGTTGGAACTGGAGCTAAATTCAGAGCTCCCACAGCACGGAGGAGGGAGGGGCCCCCTGAGAGATCAGAGGAAGCTCTTCAGAGGAGGTGGCATTTGGGTCAGGTCTTGGAAAATGAGTACAAAATGACCAGAAGGAGCCGCATGGGGGGTTCTGGGGAGAGGACAGGCTACCTGGGCTGCAGCGTGGAGGACAGACTGGAGGGGTGGGAACAGAGAGGGGGCAGGGGACAGCTCCATGTCACATGTGGCTTTCTCAGGAAATGCAACATGGACACAGGTTCACACCAGGGCAGGGACATGAGTGCCAAACAGGTGAGAGCGATGAAAGAAAGGGCTCTGAGCAGAACCCCAAGTAAAGGTCTGGGACAGCTGGCTGGCAGTGTGGGGAGATGATAGGGGCACCCACGTTTTTACCTGGGAACACCAGGGCGGGGCTGAGACTGAGAACCTGCCTTACAATGCCTCTGACCCTTCCTGGGATTTCCACCAGGCACCAGGCAGGGTGGGGTTGGGGCTGGGCTGAATGAGACATGAAGGGACACAGGAGGGCCCTGCCTGAACCCAGGGTCACTCAGGAAGTGGGGGCTGTGTGACCTGCCCTCCTGCTCCTCTCCCTAGGGTGGCAGCGAGCCTGTCACAGCATCAGTGGAAAGCCGAACACAGCGTGGTGGACGGCGAAGGGGAAATGCGTGCTTCTTGAGATCACTGGTTTCAACCTTGGTAGAGACTGGAACCCCTGGGTGCCTGGCTCCCGTTAGTTCTGGTAAAACTGGGCCAGGGTGTGGCCGGGGGCTGGAACTTAGACCCACAGATGATTCTAAGGAGCGAGTGGGGTTGAGAACCACAGCCTTAGACAACTGTCACCATGAGGATCAACTCCTGTATCCTGACTCTGCTGCCAGATCTGAGCTTCTACCACCGTGGTGGTGAGCACTCACACGTAACATGCCAGAACTCTTGCTCCTGAGAACTTTCTCATAGAGCACCGTGACTCCCTAAAACACCTGGGAGACACACATTGCAAGCCCTGTCACAGAGACAGGGAACCCGAGCTTCCGGAAGAGGTGGGCTAGGTCTACCTGCCCTCCCTCTCCCTGGCCTCTCCTGGGAACACAGGCTGGTGAGCTCCATCCTCTGAGCAGACTGGCGGGCAGGGGGAGGGTGGCATACCTCATCGCAGACGTGCATTGAGAAGATGACAGAGAGGATGCCGGTGGATGGGTACCGCCCGTGGCCTTGCAGCCAGTTGTCGAAGACATACTTGATGAAGGCCGGGTGGTAGATCAGGATCTGCGGGGAGGGGAAGACACGGCCTTAGTGAGTTCCGGCAGCAGAGGACATGAGCACCCATCAGATGCACACGCTGTCTTGGCCACGGAGACACCGCTGTGAGCCTGATGGATACCCTGGCACTCACGGCCTTCCGCGCTTGTGGGAAAGACGGACACTCATCCACACACTGAGAGACAGAGATGCTGAGCTGATAGGTGCTATGGAGAGCAATGACACAGGGGAGGGCCCTACAGGACCATGTGAGGATGATCGCTGAGCTGACACATAGAAAAATCCAAGGAGGCCAGGGAGCAGGATGGGAGGCTGCTCAGGAGGATGGGGCACCAGAGAACAGCGTGCAGTGCGAGCGGACACTGTCAATGAGTGAAGACACACACGCCAAGCCACCTGGTAATGGCTGGAATCATTGCCAGTCCTTCAAATGACCCCATGTCCCAGGTTTCCCTCTCTGCATACTAAAGATAAGGGAACCGAGGATCAGAGAGGCTAAGTGACTTGCTCAGTGTCACACAGCCAGCAGTGGCTGAGCTGGGAGGGGGTCGGTATCAGGCCTGGCCTTGGTTCCACTACCCAAAGCCTGCCTTGAGGACAGTGAAAGGGACTTGTCAGGCAGGAAAGGGCGTGCACGTCCAGAAAGCCAAACTCCACTGCCTAGGAATAGGCTGCAAGCATGGATTACTCGGGTCTCTGGTGCACCATTCACCTCTCAGTGCGGCCTCCTACCATCTCTAGGAGGCTGTGCCTTCCACCAGCCCCACCCTACAGACCCATAAGTGGCTCCTGCCCTGAGGCAGCACAACCCAATGCAAAGGGCAAGATGCTGGAGGCACAGGGCGTCTTCAGTTCTAGGCTTATCCAGAACTAGCTGTGTGTCTCCGGGAAGTTTCCTGATCTCTCTGAGCCTAAGTTTGATAGTATATGCGAAGGGCCAGTGTGATAGGCACCTCACTTCCCTCCTTCTTCTGCCATTTGCTTATCTCTTGGCCAACCACACAACAGGGGCCTGCTGGGGAAGATGCAGACATGGAAAGATTCGGAGAGGCAGGAGGTGAGGCCCTGGCTTTGAGAGTGATTCACAAACCGCAGCATGCATAGGGCGTCCCGGAGAACTTGTTAAAGACCAGAACCCGGGGCAGCCAGGGTTTGAGATTCAAGACGGGTTCAGCAGGTTCGAGACGGGCCTTAGGATTTGCCTCTGTGACAAGCTTGCGGGTGATGCTGCTGGCCCAGGGACCCCACTTTGAGGATCTCTCCCAGTGGCTGACTTCTTCCCCCAGGCAGGTTGCTGAGTGGGAGATGCTCCCCTCCAGCGGCCTGGGGATCTCGGGGCTGTCTTGAAACTCAATGCTGTGCTATAGGGCAGAGCCTTAGACAAGGAGGACTGAACTCAGAACAGGGGCCTGGGCCTCCACTCACCTTATCCTGTTTCACTCTGATCTTGGCAGGGACCGGGACGTAGGTGCTGCGGTTGGAGAAAGAGAAGCTGGTTAACGGGCAGGGGCCGGCCCAGGAACTTGGAAGCGCAGCTCTGGGGGTAGCGGCTGAAGAACGAGGCAGAGCGGCCTCTCCTGCCCCGACTCCTTCCCTCAGGGACCTGCACCTCCTTACCCTAGTCAGGTTTCTACCCCCAGCAACCCCCGAGAGACACAAGAGGGCAGCCTTGCCTAATCTGAGGATGTCCTGCTGTGTTTGGGCCCCATTCCCCAAACAGGTGAGGAAGACTTGCTCCAAGCACAGCCTGAAGGAGAGGAGTGGGGTTCGGGATGCCTCAACCTCTAAGGGCCAGAGTGCCCCTGCCCAGCTGCTGGGAACCTGGCTGGGGAGGCCCTCGATGCCCCTTTATCACCTGGGCGGTTGTGTGCACCCACAGCACAAAGGTGTCAAAGCTGGTCCCACGGGTGCGATTCATGCTCCAGGAGTAGACTTCAGCTGAGCCACATCCGGACCTGGCTCCCACTCCACCCCACCCCTGTCCGGCTGCCTCCCTCACTCCTGGTCTCCTGAGGGCACAGCCCCACAGTCTCCTGCACCCAAGTCCTGGGGCTGGGATTCGCTCTGGCCCTGTTCCTACGAAACCTGGCCTGTGAAATTCTGGATATCAAAGCACCTTCTTTCAGTAAGGGTCAGATGAGAGCACAGGAACTGTGGGTTCAACCCAGGGCAAGGTGCTTGGCCAAGCTCCAGAGTCCTCCCTGGGAGAACGGAGCTCATGATAATGGTTATTGTGGGGATTAACTGTGATTACTCGTGCTGAGTGCCCTGTGTGGTGCCTGCTCAGGAAGCGAGGCTCCTGACCATCAGGGAAGCCACGGCCAGCTTGCTCAGCACTGCCTGCCCGGGGGAGGAGCTCAGGCTGCACCTGCACCCCCACTCCCCATCCCGCAACTCGCACCGGGCTAGGCTCACGGAAGCTTGAAAAGCAAGGTGCTGCCGGGCGCGGTGGCTCACGCCTGTAACCCCAGCTCTTAGCGAGGCAGAGGCGGGAGGATAGCTTGAGCCCAGGAGTTCGAGACCTACCTGGGCAATATAGTGAGACCCTGTTCTCCACAAAAAATGAAAAAAATAAAAAGACAAAGAAGAAAAGCTAGGTGCTGTTACTGTGAGGGTGCAATTCAGAAATAAAGAGAGGCAGAACCACATGAGCGACCCTTTCTAGTGGAGGCCCCCTTCCTGGGGAGTCTCCAGGGTGTGTGGAGGTCCCTTCAGGAATTGTTAGCAGGACACTAAAGCTTGTGGTTTGTTAAGTGATGGGGAAGGGACAGGGGAGAGTTGGGTTTGTGTGTGTCGGGGGAGGTTGCGGGAGGGGAGGCACCCTGGTGGACAGACAGCACAGCAGGGTGGCGGGACGGTGCCACTGCAGGGGCGGAGCAGTGACGAGGGGCCTCAGGGGACTCACTGGGAAATGGCACCCGTGGTGGTGGCGCTCACCACCCACTCCAAGTCGATGGTCTTGAAGGGCACCAGGACCATGCTGACATTGTCCCCCAGCTCGCGGAAGCTCTCAGGGTACACCAGATGGTGGGTGGTCTTGGTCCCGACGTCAGCCTCAAACCCTGCCGTGGGCGCCCTGTTCATCCTGGGGGGAGAATGGGGGAGAGCTGAGTCGTGTAGCATGGGCACCCCATCTCAGAGAGCCTGGGCTCCACCAGCCTGCTGTGACCTCAGGGGCGTCACCTGCATTTCCCAGGCCTCGGTTTCCTCATCTGTAAAATAGAGACAATGAAGACACAGCTAGGCTTCTACCACTTTTCTCTCTTTCATGACCTCAAGAGAGTCTGGCTATCACCACCGCTGCTGCCTGTCACAGACAATCTCCTCCAAAGGCTATTCCCATAGCCTGCTTTTACAGTCAAGGAAACCGACTCCGATCCTGATCATGGACATTCCCATGGGACACTCGGTACACTGAGGCTCCGAGAGGCAGGTCTAAGGGCTAAAGTCAGGAATCACAGACAGGAGAGACTATTCTAGGCCACACTTCTCAGCATGGAGCCCTTGTGAGTGGTGTGGTGGGAATAGCAAGAGACCCAGGATAGACTTGGGGCATCTTCCTGGAGTATCTATTTCACTTGGTCATGTAAAATATATTTTACATAGAAGATGTGGTTTTATTATGCCTAGATTACAAAATGGGGATAACTGTTTTTTTTTTTTTATTATTTGTTTTTTTGTTTGTTTGTTTTTTGAGACAGAATCTCTTTCTGTCGCCCAGGCTGGAGTGCAATGGCATGATCTCGGCTCACTGCAACCTCTGCCTCCTGAATTCAAGAGATTCTCCTGCCTCAGCCTCCTGAGTAGCCGGGACTACAGGTACACAGTACCATGCCTGGCTAATTTTGTTGTATTTTTAATAGAGACGGGGTTTCTCTGTGTTGGTCAGACTGGTCTCGAACTCCTGACCTCAGATGATCTGCCCACTTTGGACTCCCAAAGTGCTGGGATTATAAGCATAAGCCACCACGCCTGGCAAAATGGGGATGAATTTTGAAGATAAAATAAGAGTCTTCACATCATTTCTGCCCTCTTCCCAGCCCTCCATGTGCCAAGCTCCCAACAATGGGGTACCTCCCAACAATGGGGGACCTCCTGTGTGTGGTTTCCTCTCTGTACACAAAGGCCCTTCTAGTCCATTCCCATCCTGCAAGGCAGAGATGGGGAAACTGAGGCCCAGGAGGTGCAGCATGGAGCCTGGGGCCCCTGGGTAAGTCCAGAGACACCAGGATTGAACCTTGACTTTCTGAGCCTGAGCGAAGATGCTTCCTACAGCTCCAAGGGGCCTCTGGGTACAGCATGGTGAGCTTGGAAGAGGGCCTGGCACTTACCTGAGCACAAAGTCGTGACTGTCTATCTCAGGCCCATATGCAGACTCTCTCAGGTTGCCCGAGTTGCCCACAACGGCACAGCGCCGGCAGCCCACCGACCGCTTCTCCAGCAGGGGGTCCACGTTCCCAGGCACCACTCGGAACAGCTCCTTGATGGTGTCGTTCAAGTTATTGGGCTTCTTCTCTCGCTGGAGCCTCTGTGGGCGGAGGACAGAGGATGGTCAACTTGGCTTTGTGACTCCAGCTTCCCGGCAGCAGGGTCCCTGAGCCACCTGCTGTTGTTCGCTGGAGCCTCCTGTCCACCCTTTCCTCTGCTGGGACCCTGGAGATGGAGGCGGCTCATACACAGATGCCTCCACTTCTGCCTTCAAGGAGATTCTGGGTTACTCAGGAAGTAAAGAGCTCATTCATCTATTCTGCAAGTGTTTACTGAGCACCTACTATGTGCCAGGTACTGCTGAAGCCACTTGGGTAATCCAGCCACACCCGGCCCCACAGGTCCCTCCAAATCCACATGTCCAAGCAGAACTCATCAGTGCTTCTCCAGCCTGCTCTTCCCTGGGGGCTCCCCTCTCTCTGAAAGGCCCCCCATCCACCTGTGCAGCACAGCTTGAAAGAGAAAAATAGCGGAAGCCTTCTAGCTGTGTCTTACTCCCACCCTTGGTCCCGCTGGTATATTGGTATACCCGTGTTCAGAGCAGCATTTTCATAATAGACAAAAGCTGGCAGCAAGCCAGTGTCCAGCAATGGATGAACAGACACAACATGTTCCAGACATATCATGGGACATTATTTAGTTATAAAAAGAAAATTTTGAAATGGGTTACAACATGGGTGAACCTTGAAAATATGAATATGATGAATAGCCAAAGAAGCCAGAAGCTGCTGTGTAGGGCCTGTTCCTGTTTGGTTTACATCCAGGCTGTGTCGCACCCTGTTTGTCCCCAAAAGGCCTTTGTAACCAGAACCCCATGGTGACGCTGAATATCGCAGGCTCCAGGGTCTGAAGGGAAGTCTGGACTTAATGTGGTCCCAGCAACTGCTACTACAGGGGGAATCAGGTCCAGAGAGAGGACGGGATGTGGGTGAAGCGACCTCTGCCATCCGTGTGGCCTTTCCCTACCCTGCTGGTTCTCAAGTGAAGGTGACTTTGCGTATGCTTGTGCACCCACCCACACACATGCATCGCGCTTGGGACGCTTCACAATTCTGGAGACACTTTGGCTGCCGCAATTGGGGACGGGGCACTGCTGGCATTTAGTAGGTAGAGGCCGGGGATGCCGCTAACATCCAGAATGCACAGGACAGCCCTGTGGGCTGATCCAGCCCCACGACTCCGTAGAGCCGAGGTTGAGAGCGGACCCTAACCCTTACCAAGCCTGGCTCACTGCCTCCTCCACTAGACCCTTGGATCTTTGAAAGAGAAAAGACCATACCTGCCTGGTTCCCTGTCACCTCCCCAGAGCCCACCCCAGGACCTGCACACTGCAGTGCTCAACACACATGAGCAAACCAGGGCTCAGCCAGGTCTTTGGATTCATAGCCCAGGGCTTTCGACCCTTCGAAATCTCATGCATGTTTTCTGTTCATTTCAAATAGACCATAAGCTCCTTGAGTGCCTGGAGGGTCCTTCCTCCAGAATCTACCTGGATAACCTCTCTGAATCTTTCATGATGAGCCTGGCCATCACCTCTTGTGGGAAGCCTTCTGTGATAACTCCAGTCTCCAAGGAGAGTTGGGCATGGAGACCTATCTCCTACGCCCACTTCCTGCACAGCACCTCTCATCCTGGCTTGAAATTGTCTGTTTTCCCTTTTCTCCCCCTCACTCCTGCAACCCAGGAAAAGAAAGATTATCTTTTCCATCTCAATGTAGTAGTGCTTGGCATATAGTAGGTGCTCCATAAATAAGGAATGAACACATGTATCTTGCTCTTCTTCGGTCTGTTTTGCATTTAACAATGGGAATGACCTTTTTAAATGACAAGTTCAGATCATGAATCTCCCTGTAAAAATTCCACAGTGACTTCCTGTTGCACTTACAAGACATCCCAGAGTCGTCACCTGGGTCTTGCTGACTCTCAGGCCTTGTCCCACTGCACCTCCCCTGATTCACAGCCCCCAGACATGCGGAGCTCCTCCACTCCCCCAGCACATCCAGCAGAGGCCACGCTGGGGCTCTGGCACTCGGGGTCCCAGGGACCTGCAGCGCGGTCCTGCCCTTCTCACAGCCACTGCCTTCTCTGCCTGTGGGTCTCCACTTGAGTCCTGCTGTTCCAGGGACCTCCCTGGTGTTCCATTTACAGAAACCCCCTCTAAGTTTCTATTATAAACCTCATTTGATCTTTCTTCACAGCACTTCTGTGTCAGCCTACCTTGTTTATTTCTCATCTTCCCCTCCCAGCCAAAATAAAATTCCATGAGAATAAGGGTCTCTCTCTCTCTGTCTCTCTGTCTCTCTGTTTGCATTTCAGTAGTGGTACTGGGTGAAATTGTGCCTCCCCAAAAGATAAATTCAAGGGCTAGTCACTGGACTCTGTGAACATGAGGACATCTGGAAAAAGGGAGCCTCTGCAGGTGAAATTGTTGAGAATCTCTGCATGAAATCAACCTGGATTCAAGGTAGGCCCTAAACCTGATGACAGGTGTCCTCTTAAGACAAGGAGAGGGACAATTGAGGCACAAAGCAACACAGGGAGGGAGGCCCTATGGAAGCAGAGGCAGAGGCTGGACTGTGGCAGCCCTGAGCCCAGGAACACCCAGCGCTGCCAGTAGCCAGCAGGAGCCAGGAGTGAGGCCTGGGGTGGCTTCCCCCTCAGAGCCTCCGGGAGGAACCAAGCCTGCCCGTAACTTGATTACAGACTTCTGGCGTCCAGAGCTGCGCAAGGGTGCACTGCTGGTGTTTTGAGCCATGAAGTGTGCAGACATTTGGTAGGGCAGCCACGGGAAACTAAGGCTGTGCTTCCTGCTCTGACTTAGATATAACAGATCCTCAATAAACAGTGTTGGACAATTATCTGAATCCTGCTAAATGCCTAGCAGGGCCCCAGGTGTACACAGGGGCTGATTATTTCACTTTAGGAGCACCTCAGTCTCATTACTATATCCTCACCCTCAGCCCAGACCCCCCACC